AATCTTAGTAACTGGTAGAACAAATCAAGATACATAATATATTTCTAATTGTACGTCCAATTTTGAGAATAAATTACATAAGGCATAAAAAGTGTGAAGAAATGTTACTCTGAAATTCTTTCTGAAAATAATTTTAAAAATTCATACCAGATATTCTGAGTGTGGTGGGGCACCTGTACTTCTAGCACTCAGGAGGCTGAGGAAGTGTTGTGGAGAGTTCTAGGCTAAGCAGGGCTACACAGTAAGCTCATAGTCTGCCTGCACTTTACATGAAGATACTAGCTCAAGAACAATAGTAGTATCAGAGATGTGGAATAAGTAACTTTAATTACAGTAAAATAAGAAAATAATCTATATCATAAATAAGGTAATAAGTAAACATGAAATCTTTTTTGAATCAAGCCTGATTATTTTGTTCATTAACATTCCAATTTTCATGTGTAAATGGCCCTGATTGTTCTACTTATAAAAGGAGAGTACATGTTTCGAATATGAGAAATGAGGGACGTGGTATTCAGTAGATTGTACTATCGATCTGATTGCACTAAACATTGAGTCAACCATGGTGAGATCTCAGCTTAAGAGATAAAATCACTGAGTAGACATTGCAGTAAAGCATCTCATCAAAAACTGTGTTCCTTCTGTCTAAAGAAAGGACACAATATGTCTCTCATTCATTTAGATATTAAGTATTAATTTAATCTTGAAGTTGCTTTTCGTGTGACTTCAGGAAAACTACACAGTTTATCATAGCTTTGTTTATTCTTAACCTATCTCATGTGGATGAGTTTTAAATGACATGTTTTCTTTCAGGGATTACTGGATGTAATATTGCAAAATATAAAGAGTTTTGGGAACCAGGCTACCTGACTTAGGTCCCATAGAGCCCAAGGCCAATATAACTCATTTAAGGAACAGAGAAGTTTAATAAAAAAAAGAAAAAACCCACATTTCTGGCTGTATGTGGGAAAATTCCTAAGCACAGCACATCTAGGGTAAGGTAACTTCTGATGAGAATAATGTCTAATAAACATAGTCATCCAGGGAGAGGGGAGTATCTGGTCCCCATTAGTCTTGTTCCCCTTACTCGTGAGTTATACATTTACTGACATGTACTGGCAGTCACTGTCCCACGAGTGATGCATGACCCCTTCCCCTGTGCTTGTGGTTAATACAAGTGGGTCAACGCCAACACTGCTGAGAGTGTCCACCAGAGGCATGTCTCACTCCAGATAGCCTTGCATTCTAAAGTATTCCTTCTGTCTCTTTTTCCCTTTGTCATACTCTCATTTAGGCGGTTGAGGTCTGGCCAAACCCTCAATAAAAATAGAGGAAAAATCCTAGGTGGTAATGATGCTGTCATTTAAAATTTCACGGTGATGTTGGAACTGTCCCCGTTCAGGGGGAAAGTGGTACAACAGTTTCCCCACTGCTGTTCTAATATTTGACTCCATGTAAGTGGGTGAATGAGTCCCCTGAAATCTCTGAAGTCTCCACACAACTGTTCTGATCATTTATGTTGTTTGTTCCTTTCCTTGACTCTTCCTGACATATTCTCATAGGGGAACACACAGTGATGTCATCGAAACAAATTTTAAGTCTCTCAGATGAGTTAGGTAGAATGAACTAAGCGAATTAAGTGCTATTTCCTTAGGGAACATCACACAAAGGATGGGGAACCTTAAATTATTATCCAAACAGAAAGTCAAAAATCCAAAGTCAGCGTGACTTCAGAGAAGGAAATCTGATTCTTCTCTCAAGGTGGGTATGGATCACCTTGACTTCCTATGCCCACCCAGGTGGTTCAGTCTCCCTAACCTGTGCATTGACTGCAGACGCTCATGGTTAATGACAGCTCATTCTTTAAGCACACTACAAATCTCATGTCTCCTCTGTGAACTGCAGTCTTGGAAGAGTTTCGTTTTTTAGGTATAAAAATCAGTGAACTGAACAAATATGGGAGATCAATTGGATGGGTGAGATGTTGAAGTGGCACATAGATAATGCAAGTTACAAGGGACCAGAAAATGTATAAAGTGCTTCACGGAACTCATCACTTAGACTCAATTGAGATTAGGGTTTCCAGATAAAATGCAAGACACTCAGTTTAATTTGGTTTTCAGATATATGTCATTAGACTT